TACCCAGGCGCAGTTGGATAAATCCGTTTCTTCTCCGGTGGAGGAGATCCTGGCCAACCGCTGTATAACATAAATCCTTCGACGGTCCAACGATTAAACGGGAATCGACGATTTCAATTTACATTTTTCTGGCTCGGTTCGCCGGCCGAAAGCGCGCCCAGAGATATATGTATGTACGCACGTGTACAGGCGTATCTGTATGCACATTAGTAAGTATTTACGTAGCAGCGTGCCAACCGGGTCACAACGAGCGCGGATATTATCAATATCGGCCTCGGTTTGTTAATTCGAAGCGTAAGCGCTTACTGATAGCGGTAATTGCTAGTTTTTCCAAGTGAAGCATTTACGAAACGTGTGATATCAATGTCCGGTGTGTTAAGGGGGAGGACAGGACAGTTTGACGGGCTTAAAAATTGCGAATACTTCGGAGGGCTAGTAAAAAATAAAAGCACATGTTTGACTGACACGAGCCTTTATGGTTCATTTTAACACATTATGAATTATAAAAAAGTAACATTAAAAAAAGAGAAGAAGAAGGCTCTTGTTCAACTTTTTTTAAGGGTATTCTTTTACATAACTTTTTTTTACATTGCTTATCGGTGTGCATGATTCGCAGCCAAACGGGATTAGTTGCAACAAAAAGGCAAAAAAAAAAAGTTCAAAAGTAAACAATATTCTCTAGGGATTGACGATCCAACATTTTTGTTTTTGTGAAAATCATGAAAATAGCAGCTATTTGTGTTTTTGATTGTGTCGGATTTATGGCAAAAATTTCTACGCCTTTTGTTTATATTTTTCGAAATTGTTAAAAATTGAAAAATGTTCGATCGTCAATACTTGGTAAATGTTACAGTAAAGATACGCACCTAGTTAGGTTCCGAGATATCTTGCGTACCGTTTCTAAAAACCTAGTTTCGAGAAAAAACGCGTTCAAAGTTTCAGAACGTCATTTTTCATGTGTATTCTTTACTTACTTCTTTTACTTACTATATCGCGGCTCACGGTTCTTACAATTCACAGCTAAATTGAATCCAAGTCCCCTAATACTCGATTCACCAAAAGTAATATTTGAACTATTACACATTATTGAACGATTTACACTTTATAATACTGCTTAATGTTGCGAACAGTGATACAAATTCAATTATTCTGCATCTTATTGAAAAATCGATTTTTTTGAAAATTTCAAACTCTCCTTTAACTGGAGAATTTCGAACAACGAGTCGTTTCCTATTCGTTGATAACCATTTTTCCAAAAAGCAAGCTTGAAATGTTACCAAACGCGTGTTATCGACGACTAATCGAAATCTAATCGAATTCATCAAAAACGATCCACGGAGAACGTCACGTTGACGACGATCCTTCGATCTTCTCGTTCGCAATGAATCAGGGTTGGCTTGGACTTCCCGGTGGCCGGGATTAGTCGAAATTGTAGCGAGAAGTTAGCGCGAAAGAATGAGCTTCGTAGGAGGAGAAGGATTGCCGGACACGCGCGAAACGTCGCTCGTAAAACGCGCCGGGAGTTCTGGATACCGGAGGGACGTTCGTTGTCGTCCGGATTTCTCGTTCAGGGGAATGTAATTATAAGGAATCAGGAAAAATGGGGGTCCCCCTGCGAGAATAATGGCTCGCGTAATGCTACACGCTGCCAGAGCGACCAGCTTGAGTTATCGTTCGTCGTGCGACGTTTCTGTTTCGCGTTGCTGCTAGGATTTTCGTCCTCCCGAAATTGTACAGAGGCTCGATTAATCCGAAATTTGCATTTAACGACGAGTCCACGCGATCGTCGCGGACGAATTTTTTGACGACTTTCGTTTTCGACGAAACGCCGCGCGCGTGACAATGTCGACAACAATAACTGTCCTTCGTTCGTGCAGTGAGCTACGAATAATTATTTAGGTAATTCGGTTATTTATTATTCCAGAGGAAATAATGGCATTTCTGCGAAATTAAATTCCACGTGAAATTCTATAATTTATTATTGTTCTATAATTCTATAATTTATTATTGTTTCGCAAGGAATAATAGTATTAAATTCCATGTTACATCGTGTTGTATAATTCTGTTATTTATTACTTATCACGATCGAGTGTAAATCACGCTGACTAGGATTTATCTCCTTAGTCGCGTAATAAATTGTGAATCGTCGTGAAACTCAGATTGAATTCGCTGGACGTATTGACGAAACTGTATCAAAAACTAATTTCGCAAGGAACTTTTCGTTTCGCAGGTAATATTAGGAAAATAAAATTTCAAACTTTGTTAATATTACGAGAGATGACTCGAGAGGTTGAAAACTCTTTTTCTTTGTCTTCACGATCATTGTGAAACTCTAAAATACAAATCTGCATGTAATAACATAGTATTTACACGCGGTGCATTCTTTCGTGTGTTAAAACTATCTGAGCACGAATGAGTTTATATATTTGTCGTACGAGGAAAGAGATTTTTGTTTTTTAATTTTTTACAAAAGTAAACACTGTAAAAATAATATCTAAAATGCGAGTAATATTTACGAAGTGAAAGCTGACATCTCGCCGCTATTCAATGAATATAGCTGAAAGATTGAAATACGAACTATAAGGTGAAAGGGAAGATAAATGCGAAAGTGAAAGCAATATTTTAATCTGGAAAGAAGATCCATGGACCATTTCCCTGCGAAAATATATGCCCGAATGAAAATGTGATATTGTTGACAAGAAGAATTACGTCCACGCGATTTAACTGATATTCGAAAAAGAAACCCCGGTTATCTTGAAATAGCCCCGAAGAATTGATGTTATACTGTGGCATAATGTAATATGACGTACATTATGTATCTAGAAACGATCCAACGATTGCATTTGCAGAGAGAAAAACATCGAAAATATCGGCTCAATTTTATGGATAAAATCTTCGTTACGATGCTTACCCGACACTTGTGTAATTTGTGTAATTCGATCTTTCGTCGAACGTTAAATTAACATCTTACTGAATAGATATACTGTAATCTTCCATTATCTTCTGTTTGATAGTAAATATCTTATTTATATATATATTTAATAGTAGCGCCACCATATTCAGATCTTTTTGCAATTGTTGACAAGATACGGATATTTCTGTCAAAATTAATATTGATTTCTCTTTGAACATGCAATAGACACGATTGTATCAATTTATTTATTTAAATTGGAATTATACGTGGAATATTTTGACTTTGACATTGTGGGATTTCGAAAAGATTTTGAAGAGATTTTCAATATCCTGAAAAGATATTTATACAAACCATGTCATTAAAATTAAAAAAAAGTAATTTCCAAAGATACTTTCCAATATTAAAGCGTAATATTTCGCCGGGAGATAATTAAACGATAAAGCAAGATGAAAATTTCAAATTCATGCGCGTAGAGCTGATGAAACAATTTCGCGAATCACTCGTTGAATTACCTTGAAAAAGCGTTCGACGCCGCGGAATTCGGAAATTCCAAATTTCGGCAGGTTTGCACGTTTGCACGTCGGCAAAAAAAATTCGAAGAGCCGTTCACTAGCCAACGTGAGAGCTACGCGAGTGTCGCCGGATCGTAAACCGGCCAAGGGTTGTTTGCGAAAATTTATGTTCCGTCTGTGGAAATTGGCGAGCGGAATTTTTGAGACTAGGGTAACGAGAAGCGCGGGCCGCCCTCGTGCATCGAGCCTGCACGCGATCTGCCCGTAAAACTATCGTAATTAATTTATAACCATCAGCGGTCATCAGCCGGGAACATAAATCTCCCGTGATAAATGCTCCAGCCGGAATCAAATACCATTTTCCCTCTGACCGCAAGTTACACGTCTATCCTCGGAGTCGCGCTCAGCGCTTTTCCAGAAGCGAGTCGTTTCGCGTTTCGAGTTGAAAAGAGGGCGGCGCGGCCCTCTCCTCTCGGCGGAGGATTCCGAGATCTCGGCCTCGGTGTAATCCGTGAAACGGTCTGCCATTCGTCTTGTCAGTTTCGGATAAGAATGAAAAGCGCACGGGGAATCCGGGAATGCGCGCGGGGTTGCCTCGACTTGTGTCGCCCTTGTTCAACGCAGCTTCTCTCTTTCTGTCGGATAACTCGACGAGACTCTCCATCTCTCTCCCTCGGCTCTCGTAACTCCTTCGAGGCAGAGAGAAACAGCTGGTTCCTCACCCCCCCCCCCCCTGCCGAGTTAACACCGTCGTGGCCGACGGGTTCGACAGAGATACGAAGGGGCGTAATGGTGACGAAGGAGGGTGGAATAGAAGAAACGTGAAACATCGGATAGCATTTAGGAAAGCTCGTTTCTCAAGTCCGCCGAGAACACCGCGCGAACACTAGCCGCGATATTTATGAATTACTGCTCGGTCACGGGTATCGCGAACCTGCCTCTCGTAAATATACCCTGCCCTCCTTATCTTTTTACCAAGCAAAGGCGATAAGTATGGTGGTGTCTGATTGTGTGTGGTGGTCTGATTTCCGCGAGACAGACGGATATTGTGGAAAGCTGTAGTGCACCAACAGAAAATACAATAGTAGCTCGTCGCGAATACTGTAACACTATTGTAATATTATAATATTAATATAATACTATTAATATATTATTATATAACTATTAATATAGTATTATATTAATATTATAATAATATTATAGTATTGTATTATTATATTCGCGACGAACTACCGTTGTATTTTCAATAAATTAGCATTATATTATTATTTTAATATTAATATAATACTATTAATATATTATTATACTAACTATTAATATATTATCATATTAACTATTAATAGAGTATTATATTAATATTATAATAGTATTATAGTATTATGTTATTATATTCGCGACGAACTATTATTGTAGTTTTAATAAATATGTAGCATTATATTAATATTATAATATTAATATAATACTATTAATATAGTATTATATTAATATTATAATAGTATTATATTATTATATTCGCGACAAACTACTATTGTAATTTTAATAAATATGTAGCATTATATTAATATTATATATACTATATTAATATTACTATTAATATAGTATTATATTAATATTATAATATTAATGTAATACTATTAATATTATATATAATATTATATATATTAATAGTATCACATTAATACTGTATTAACAGTATAATATTATAATATAAATATAATACTATTATAATATTGTTGATTCTTGCGCTCATATTCTCGAGTTTTATTCTCTTCTCTTTTTTTTTTTTTTTTTTCTACTTACGACACTGATGAAACTTTCTTCGTTAATCATCATTTCGACGACAATTTCACCATCTCCAAAAAGAATTACAATCATACATTCCATTATCTCTAAAAAAAAAAAGACAATTATAATTATACAGCACAGAGTAATGAAAAGGAATCTTCGTCGAGAAATAGCGAGAGAGAAAGGGGGGAATTTTTCATCTGTCAGTAAAATCGCGAACAAACGGTCGGAAGAAGATCGATTGTTCGATCTCGCGGTAGAAAGTTGCCGGGTGAGCGCGCGCGAATGTACAGAGAGGATACTCGATCCTGGTCCTTATGCTGACCGTAATCCGGCTTATCAAATAAACCCACGTACATCTGTAATCGTTCGGCGCGTTCAGATTAAATGTAATCCTTTTATGCAACGCTACAAGGGCCATCTGTGCGCGAAGGCGGATCGACGACGTCGCGTTTCAACCGAAACGAAAGAAATCATTTCAACGTGGTGGGTTTTTTCCCTCCATTCCTTTATTATTATCTGGTCCGGTCTCTCCTCCTCACTGGCCACAGGCCACGCTGCTCTTCCCCGTATTACGGCCGCATAATTCCTCTCAATGCAATTTCCCGCAATGGTCACCGGAGTTTGTTCCGCGTCGAGATTATTTTCCGCTTCTAGGCAAGATCCGGCGAATTATTATTCGCCCACTGTTTTAGAAACTGGGTTGACGGGGTCGAATCCGCCGGTGAAAAAAATTCACCGATCCCGGAGCACGAGGACCACCGACCAACAACGCGTTTCATTTTCACTGCAGAACACGCTTTCACGCTACACCGAGGTCACTCTTGCGCGATTAACCCTCGACTGAAGGGTCACATCTTCGCTAGCAATTGCGAGTGCGTGAAATAATAATTAATACGTTATTGTTCAACATTTTTCCGTTTAGAGTGAACCTACTAGGCAATTAAATTTGTGTTGATGTAAGAAAAGTGTATTTAAACACGATTTTTGTTATGGAAAAATGTCGTGAAATGTACGAAATCATTATACAATTTTATTTTATATATATTATATTATATTATATTATATTATATTATATATATTATATATTTTATATTATATATATATATATATATTGCTCTTTTGCTAAACAAAGAAAATAATTTTTAAATTATAAAAATATTGCAGACGCAGTGTCTCATCAATTATGAAAATTTTGTTTAATCTTACTCTAATTGATTTCCATGAAAAGGAATTACATTGCTTTCTTTGTGCTGTGTTTTATAAGTATCTCTCGTTACGAATTTTGTCTCCGCTATCGTTGTGAACAAATGCATACTGATGAAATACAAAGTGTATTTTTGAATTTCGTCGTTTCTTTAATTAAAATACAACATTTAATTTTGTTCAAAATCAGATTCTCAGTTCTCTTGAGAAATACCTTTTCGAGTCTCGAACTACAACTTGTACCATAATCATTTATACGTTTGTTAAAACCAATCATTATACGATGCTTCAGAAATTTCATCCTATAGTTGATATTAATGATTTTCTCGGTGATTATTCAAGAATTGAATCTCATTGATCGTCAAAACGCGATTCGTTGCTTGTTTGGTTTGTTTTGACTAGAACGACCAAAGTGGTATCGAAGTGACCAATATATAATTCTTGTTAGAAATCTTGTACATGTGAAACAGTGCATTTTATATAAATGAAATCTTGTATCAATTATCATTACCATAAGATATATAAATAGGAGCTTGTGCAAGTTATCGTTACCATAAAGCCTTTCTATTTTTTCACTCTGATGTCTCTCCAATCATCGATGATACTAGCGTTAAAAAAGACTCGACGTTATCGGTCTCGATATATTAAGAAAACAAATTGCAACGTTAAAGGCAACAATTTAATTCCTTGTGATAAGCCTCAGTTACTGTGAAAAGACAAAAGACAGGTCAACCAAAAAAAAGTTTGGATCGTTGAAAGCAACATCTAATATGCGAATTATCCGCTCTATATGTCATTCGAGGATTAACCACCCCCATAGTCGCGATCGTTCGTCCTATCATCGGTCGACTAGCTCCTCGAAATGCGATTGAAAATTCAGCGAAACGCATCAGTCCCAAGAACCTTCTTTCAAAATACTTTCTCGCCCGGGCCGGCGTGTTTCCCGCCTTTCGGCGGCATTGTCCCAGCAACGCGGTTAGATAAGACGAGATCGTGGCTCGACTGGCAATCGCCCGGCTCGAAAGGAGCAGTCATTCGCTAATGTCACGCGCAGGCCTGTCTGATGCCGTTAATATTTCTTATTTCTTTGTCGAGACGAGACGCAAGAAGATACCGGCGCAACGAGGTCCCGCGGCAGCAACAATGGACTCTGTGTCGTCTCCTCCTCTCATCGTGTCGTCGGACGTTTCGCGTGCTCTCTGCTGGAAATAATTCGCAGAATTACCCGGTTACGCTTTTTCTCGCCGGCGGCGTAGCGAAAATTCGTCGAAACGACGACGAGGCGCGGAAACTAGCAGAGTGTTCTCCACTGCGTAAAGAGAGAGAGAGAGGAGCACAACGATCCCGGTGCCCCGTGCATTAACGCCAGGAGATGTGCCGAGTGTTAGGTCGTTAATAATTCTACCCGGAGCCCAGCCTCCTCGTGCCGTGCGAGCCACGAGTATTTATCCGCTACGGGGTCGTAACACCGGGGTTGGATTGTTGCGTCGCTGCGTCTCGTGACCGTGCTCCGAAACTCCGAAACGTAGGCGTAGGGCTGCGATAGCATGGGTTCGCACGGCATGCGAAGAATTTGCGTTCATAACTTGCCAGGATTTGTCCAACGGCACGGTTCGCCACGCGTTGATTGCTGTTTTAGATTGCGGCCAGATCGATGCCACGAATGAGAAGTTGATATAATTCTCTCTTTCTCTGTGTGCGTGTCTGCACATCCCTTCAAAAGTATTAAGACACTTATATAGAAAATGAAATAAATTTGAAAAACCATTAGGATATTGTTGTAATTTTCGTAAATTTATTTCAAAGTTAGTTGTATCAAGCTGGGAGAGGTATATATAGTTTACATTATAGTAATAATTAATATATAGTTTACATTATAGTTAATATTGCACGAGAAAGTTAAATTTTCTTTTCGTCGATATATCCACCGCGTTTTTTAATTATTTGCTCGATTAATTTCGACATTTTTATTAGCTTTTCTATCTATTTGTGATACTGTTTCGTTCCATGCACTTCGTAGTTTGTTCCATAAGTCATTTTGGGACTTTGGAACACACTTTACGGATTTTCCAATCTAATTCATCCCAAATCTTCTCTGTTGGGTTCAGATTGGGGGATTCAGGAGGCCAGTGCATTATTTTTGATTCGTCGCTCTAATCCTAAATGTTGTAAATAGTCTTTGCAAACTCTTGCAGTGTGCTCGGGATCGTTGTCATGAATGAAAATAAAATTTTGGCCTATCAGTCGCCTCCCAAATGGTATGGCACGATCACATAAAATCGGCAAATGTTCTTTTTTCAGAATCACTTCGATTTTTATTAAATCACCAACACTATTTGCTCCAGTACAACCGCAGACCATTATTGTCCAGCCTCCGTGTTTAATTGTGGGTACGATACGGTCGGAAATCATTTTTTCTTCACGTCGCTTGCAATCGAACACTTCAGATTTAGATTTGTCGATCCATAAAACATTTTTCCACTCTTCAACTGACCAATTTTGATATCTCTTAGCCCACCGTAGTCTTTTTACTTTGTTGAGTGGTCTTGGTAATGGTTTTTTTTTTCATAGCGAAAAAATTACAATTCACACCAAATAAGCTAGGTGTCCTAATACTTTTGGAGAGGCGTGTGAGTGAATTAAATAAAAAAACACACTGTTAATTAATATGTTTAATACATATATTATTAAATAACAATATTAATATATATATTATTAAATTAAATAACGTATATAATAACTATCACTTATGAATTCACTTTCTCCCCGATCAATATCACTTCTCATCGCAGACTCGAGATGAATACTCCTTTGCTCGCTTCTGAACAAAAACGCATCACGCAACACACTCGCAATTGTCTCACCAATACTTATGCCTTCGCTCGACTCTCACGCATCCTCACACATGCAACATAAAACTAACAACATCCACAGGGCGTGTACGTCGTGCTTCCGGACGAAACAGTTGGCAAGAATGTTTTTCTGCTTTTTTATTTGCCGAATTGTACGAGCGAAAAAAAAAAAAAGAACTGAAAAAAATAAAAGGAAACTACTTCTCGCCTAGGCGAACGAACCGTAGGAATTACAGCAACCTGACTCTGAAAGATTCGAAATATGGAACGAGGCAAAGGTATCAGGAATTAACCGGGGGAAAGACGACTGGATGGAAAAGAATTGAACTTGTTTGAAAGCCCTGGGTAAATTGTTCGCCCCGGTGGATCCTGGTCGTGGCGTGTACTCAGTTTGAGAAAACTTTTACGGAGCTACACTTTTTCGCGCGAATGCTACTTCTCGAAAATTCGAAGTCACTTTTAATTAACGTGTGGGTGGTTTCGTTTCTTTCGTTACGGTTTCTTCTTTAATTTTCCCCCGTAATATCGTTTCATGTGCCGTAGAATCTCGAATAGATTACCGAGGTTCGGAGTTTCACGATTCCAAATGACTTTCATCTGCAATATTTCCAGTACTTAATTTGTCACGTTGCTCTTACTATGATTAAACATGAAAGCAGAGAATTGTAATATTGTGATATTCCTATCGCGGTTTTAATTTAAACGTACGTATAATAATATATTGTTATAATTTTATCATTGAAA